GCATACCTAAAACTTAAAAATCCTGAGGAGTACACAGGTCAGTCAGTTTTTGTAGATCCTCTGCTACCACATTAGCCGATTCTTGGGAAGGAATTTCCAACGTTAAGCTACTTGGAGGCTGGAAATCAACGGCCGAGAGCTACATAGAAGGATCCATGACCCAAAAGAAAATATTAAAATATATATATGATAAACAGAAATGAATTAGGTACCTACCTAACATTTTTAACAATCTATAATACCTACTTTCAAAGTATCAGACTTTACTTCAGACATGATAGGGTATTTTTATTTACTTTAATTTTGAAGGTATCTGTTATCTTAAACGATATCTTAAATACTTAAAAGTATATTGTACTTTAGAAGTTTTTAGGATTTATCGAAAATATCTTATCTTTTATCTTTTTTTTTAAATAAGTAGGTACATATTTATAAATATGTACTAAAGTACTATAGTATCTAGTATTTAAATACTTTTAGAAAGTAGCTCTGATTATATTATACAGAGTTTGACTAAATAGGTTGTCATCCTTTAAGGAGATGATATTACACGCCAAAGTAAAAAATAAGAAATATGCTTGCAATTTGTGTTATTATTGATTACTTTGTTGATAATTGTTTTTTTGTTTTGCATACTCAGCTATTTTTAGGTACTTTGAATAAAACAATACTTACTTTTTATTGTTAGGTATCTCGAGGTTTCCGTGGTTTTCCCGTCTATTTTAAATTTCACTTTTTACGTCGATTGATGCTCATGTAGCTATTTTTTTAAATGTTCCACAACATCATAATAAATGTTCAACTTTCCCTCCGTTATTATCCACACAAAGTTGAAAGCGGCGTAGAAAATTATGATGTGTCACCCGAGCGATCTTGCTATCATATCCGGATGATTTTGGATTTCATCTGCCGCTGCAGTGACAAGTTGTTCTAATATGTCAACTTTGCTCTGGTACACTAAACTGTTTATGTAGCCCCAGGGAAAAAACAATAACAACCGAACTGTCAGTAATCAATGATAACGTACCTATAGGTTAGTATACTAACCGATTTTGATTAAGTTTAAAAGTTTTTTTGATATTACATTATACTGTGCGCATACCTGTTTCTTTTTGGCTTGGATGAATAATATCATTGTTTTTAGAGGTTAAAACAATGATGATATAGAGGATAGGTCAGTGAAATTCAGTGGCTACTTGGTTTTATAAAAAAAATTTTTTTTTTTAAACCATCTCTAATGCAAAAATGGTCTAACGAAGTTATAACGGTTTGTTGGTTTTGACATGTGTATTTTTTGTTTATTTTAATTTTCTGTTTTTTTTTTATCTGAAGCTTGTTATATAGAAATATAGATATAAAGGTGTGGTGGTTTCAGGCACATTGCCATTATGTTTGCGATTAAATGCGGTGTTGCTAATGAGTGAAACGTACGTCGAATCCGCGGACCAACTAGACGTTGCCAGACCGGAAACGCTAGCGATTCAATTATTTAACCCTCTCTTAAACAATAGGTGGCTGTGAAATGAAGTGATCATTTTATAATGTTTGAATCCTGGTAACGTGATTCGAAATTAATGGTCCGAGAGTGCCTTGATAAGCGAGTTGCAGTCGACGATATTCGTTTGTTTCGCTCCCGCCGACCCCCTCGCGACTCGCGTCAGCCAACTTCGACTGTACCGTAAACGTTTAAATGCATTTTTATTTGCCGCGATAAGACTGGAGACAGGTTTTTTCGTTTTGTTTTCGAATGTAGTTGGTACTCGATTTGGTGGTGTTTCAATGATAAGGGGCATATTCTATTTATCGGGGTGCTTAATTTAAATGAAATATTATCTTTAGTTTGTCTCACGTGATTTGTGTTGTAATGGAAGAATACAAGCTGATTTATTATAATTGAAATATTATTTAATCGTAATTGCGCAAAAAAACTGTTAAAATATTTTTTTTATTTAATTAAAAAATATGTAATTTATTCTTACTTAGATTATTAGTTTTTTTTAGTAAAAATCAGAAAACAAAAGTAATTGTCAAAAATGGCGAATGCGCCAGGATTAATAAATTTAGATTTTATTAATTTATAATTTTAAAAGCTTACTTCAAAAACTTCAAAATATGTTAAGAAAATATTTTATCCTTTAATTGTTTTCTATAATTGCAAAATATTATCACAAAGTATTTCAAATTCTTACACGGGAAATGTTAAAGGTAAAAAAAGTGACAGTTGTATTTAATGGAATTCCCGTTACAATTTTTAACTTGGGAATCTACCGGCGATATAATCTCAAATTTTTCTGTGTAAATAAAAATTTATCCCTTGAAAATAGACTAACAATTGATATAGAATAAGTTTTTCACAGTAAAAGAGAAGAGAATGTTTTATGGGCACTGTATGCAAAATTTTTAACGCTTTATCAGTTAAATCTAGTTAACCGCACTACTACGGCGAAATCAAAAGGTCAGTACAAACGTTCATATAATCTTTTCAAATATTGGCGTCAAGAAACTATTTAATACTTTTGTATTTTTGTATTTTGTATTTCACATTTAGGATTATTTTACAAGAAAGGCACTTTATTTTAACGATTGTATGATATTTGACAACTTAAAACTAACTTCATCCCGTGACTAAAGCGCCATATAGCCACAACTTGTCAATGTGTATTTAAAAGGTCACTTAGTGTTATGGACTTATGTACGAGAATGAGCATTTTAAAGGTGGGAGTAGAAAAAATATTTTAAAGCAGAAAAATAATATAAAGGGGAAATTCAGAAAACTTGACATGAGCCGTTTCATTATCATAGCCTTTATGGTGAAAAAGTGTCAAAAAGAAAAGAAAAATCTAAAATCTGGCCCAAATTTGGTGGAATAGGGTGATCAAACTTATACAACATCTTTAATTGGGGCTAGAACTTGGGAATTTCTTTCATAACACATAAAAAAATAAATATATCCATTTCAAAAAAATATCCTTAGTTTGTTTGAATATCCATGCCAAAACGAGTTTTTATTTACAGAAAAAAATGTGAATTTTTCGCTAGTTATTTAACTAATAACTAATTAAGGGCGAGTAAGATCTAGGGTTTTATAAAAAATGGGGAAAAAACTGCGTTTTTGCGTTTTTCCCAGGCCTTGGAAAAATTGACTTTTTCGTGTTTTTTTTTGGGAAATATACAAATTAAAAAAAAAGTGGCAATTACCAACTTGACATTATTTTAATTAAAAAAAAATATCCTTACAGAAAAAAAATAAAACTAAGCATTGAATTAAATTAAATTGATTTAAGAAGTTTAACGTAAACGTTTAATATAGGTACTGTCGGTTGGGTTTTTTTGCAAAAAGGAGTCCATTGAAAATATCCCATTACAAAATAATTTATAAAGTTAAATTGCAAAATTATAATTTTATAAATCAAAGTATCAAATAAAACGAAAGTTATGTTGATACAGCACCAAATATGTTTTTTGCGACCCAGTAGAATATTCTTAATGAATTAAAATAAAAGGAATAATTATTATAATCATAATATTATATAATATTATGATTATATAATATATCGTCGTTTATCTGACAAAGAGGCGTAACTCAAAAAAAATCGTTTTTGAGTTATACCAGAATGATCACCAAAATCGACTTTATAATCTCACAAACTGGCGTAGCTCTATAATAAATAGGTACAAATAAAGTTTTAGCATAAATCAGTTTCGGCGTAACTAATATTTTTGCATTTTGTGTGCCGTACAAACTGGCGTAATTCAATTCACACCGTTTTGTTTAAAAATGAGATACGCCTCTTTGTCAGATAAACGACGATATATTCAACGTCGAAAGTTCACTTTTTACTTAATATTCATGTACTAGCTTTATGATATAATTCTCTTTTTTCTAATAGCATAATATAATATTTATTGACTTTATTTGGGTTTTTACGTATATAATGGTAACCATTATAACCGTCAACGGAAATAATGATCTCATTATTCACGTTGTTAGGCATCAGTGATTGGACAATTTCAATATTCACTGTGATTTGAACCAATCGGGTTTAAAATTAGGAAAAGGTGAGGTTGGAACTTGATATACGAGGGGCGACTATAATATACAATCGATAAGATAAAATAAATTTCGTTATTAATACACAGAAAAAACGCTAGCATAGCATGAATGGGTGAGCCATTAAACCAATGGGATCTTGTAATCCGTATTCCCGAATAAAAGTTCCTATAATACCAATAGGTAGTTAGCACTTGGTTTATAATCGTTTACTGTTTTTAAATTAACAACAAAAGTTATCGCTCCTAAATCTATTGATATTCATATTGATATTTATTTGTTAGAATGGTAGAATGTTATTGCATTAAATACTAATTTGATTTATTTAATAACGTTACTATTGTATGTATACTATGTATACATTTAACGCAATAAATTCTTTGACATTTAGGCAAAATATTTCCCTATTTGGGTTTAATAGTAATTAATTGAGCAAATAACAATTTTTTTAATGCATTCAATGACAGCGCTGTTCTTGGTACTATGTTAGATTTTTTTCTGTGTAAAAATAACTAAACGCAAACCTTATCCTCCTGAATAATAGCTATCATTATCTTTCTTATAATAATATACTAAGGATATTTTTTAATAATCAAACAAAATAAATACATTTATAATATTCATATATTCATTTAACCTTATTACTAAGTAATAAATCAATAATATTGCACATTTGATAACATAAATATAACAAATAAATAAAATATCTACGAAAGACACAATAATATACATATTTACAAAAATCTCACAAATTTGACTAGATATAATCCTGTTTTAAATACTATTGCTATAGCACATTGCTCAAAGTTACAATAAGTGCTCTCTATAAATGAATTAGTCAAAAATGACTAATTGTCATCCAGTTTTTATGGTATTTTAGGATTTAGGGAATAATTCTACATAAGAATTGGCAATTATATGTTGGCAATACCATGGTAGTCCATTGTTAATAGCCACTAATAACTGTAGTCATTTTTGTCTAATTTATTTTTAGAGAGTGGGTACACTATATACAATCATCAATTATTTACTAATTAATTAGATGCAGCCTTCTTCTTTATCTCCCCGTCTTCCGCCTTGTCTTGGTGGGCGGTCATGTGCCTGGTCAGATGGTGCCGCTCCCTGAAACTCTCGGCGCAAACAGGACACTTGAGTTTTTCCTCTCGCTTACGTCTATGCACGTCGTTGGTCTCGTTCTTGTGATGCGATCGCATGTGATAAACCAGATCGGACGTCATGCGAAACGATATGTTGCACTTGGCACAAACGTTCTGCGCCGGCAAGGAGAGCGCGGCCAGCGATGGGGGCAGGAGTGAGGTTAGGAGTGCGGCGGGGGTTTCTGATGTCCGGTTGCGACATCCTCATCATCTCTTGCGCGGGTAGTTGTTGGTAGTTGTAGGAGAGTTCAGGCCGGTACATGGGCCGCATTTTCGGGAAGTGTGGTTGCATTAATTCTTGATTGGGGTTTTTGATGTAAGGATTCTCGGTGTGAGTGAAATTCTCCTGTATGAAGTTGTTTTGGTAGGCGTTGAACTGTTGATTTTTGAATATTTGTGTTGGTGATAGCATGTTTGGATGGAAGTTTTGATAATTCCTATTGATGATTGGTGGTGAAGGGCTGAGAGAGTTCTGGTAACTCAAGTCGGGACTTATAGAAGGGTTTGGTGACAATCTAGGGACTAAATTTACCTTCGTGAAAGCACTTTTTTGATCGGACGACCCAGATAAACCTTTACATCTTAAATCCTCCAGATTTCTCGCTTTAATTAGGTTGGGATCATCGAAAATTTGCTGCTTTTGTGTGTAGTATTTTTGCCCATTTGGTATTTTATAGTCACGCGGTATATCTTCTATTTCCACCTCTTCATCTTCATCGTTGTTGTTGTAGCAAACTTCACTTTCATAGGTTTTCTGGATTTTTTGTTTTTGTTTCAACTTTTCGTCGGGTAACATTAAAAAAGCCACATCGAACGGCCTTTTGACCGTCTTTGGAGTAACTTGTGTTGTTTCACTTAAGTGTTCACTTTTTATTTCCACCTTACGATTTGTAACATCCATACTGATTCACTGTACTTGTAGACGCACTTCGCTCAAAAAACTGGTAGATGTTCACTGTTTGACGGCACAATGCATAATGCTTAAAAACAGAATACGCGGTACAAATATTGTCGGATTTTACAACCTACCCCTCAAAGCAGCTGTAACGAAAATCAAACCCACCCTTACGTTAGACAAAGATGCAAAATAGAGCAACCAGTCGAGTTGGAAGGAGAGGGAAGCATTACATTTAGAAAAGCGTATTTCGTTGTATAGCTAAAACCTTCCTATAGGGGTAAACGTAAGTTTTGGGGACTGAACAGACCAATAGTGTTTTAGGGGTAGGCGGGGCTTTAAAATACGTTCGGCCAATACGGTTTTCAATGTCGACTCGTTTAGGACTAGAACCGGCGCTTCGAATCACGTTCGAAATGTATTTAGGATTGACAGATTGTGTTTGTTTATACTAATTATGACCTATGCGTGGTTTTTATTTTAATTATGACCTATGAAAAATTTAGTTTTAAATTAGTTTAGCATTAAGAATTCTCCTATATTTTAATATCTACACATACATACACATATATGTAAATAAAATATAAAAAACAGTAAATAATTTATTTATACAGGGTAAGACAGAAAACCCATTGTGTTTTTAAAATTAAATACCCAACTCAAAAAATATTACAATAGGTAAGTATAGTCATAAAATATAAAAAAAATATAAAAAATTGTAAACAAATTATAATAAGTATTAAATTGATAATATTAATGTTTATCCACTTTTCCCATAAAGTTTATTAGTAAGTTATTGTTTGATTAACACGTTACATAGCACCTGTGTATTTAGTGTTGCCGTCAAGACTAACACATTTTAGACTCTTGTCTTGTCTTGTCTAGAATATCAAGACAAGACCTTCAACATATCTTGTCTAAGTGTATCAAGACAAGACAAGACCAAAAATCTTGATTATAATCAAGACAAGACAAGACTTTAAGCTAAAACTCTTGATTATTTTCAAGACTAGATTAAATTTAACTTTTAAAAAAGTATTAAAAAACTTAATTTAATTATTATTTTTTTATTAAAAAGAATATATATATTTTATTGAAATCTTGGGCTTATTTTCTACATATATTAGGGGCTTATCTTGGGCTTATTTTCTACATATATTTAAAACTATTATTATTTTTGCCAATAACCTTATTAAGGGTTTTTTCCTAATGTTGAGTTGTCTTTGAAGTAGATTGTTGTTGAAGTAGGTACGTGAAGTTGATGGCTTAAAATCGATTGTTGCTGTGGTGTTACTGTTGGTTGGCGAAAAAACACTTTCATCATCACTACCTGAAAAATCGTCTGGTCCAGGCTCATAACTTTTATCTTCATCTATCGAATCACACGTAAAAGGATCTTCCACTTCTTCTTCGTTAAAATTATTATTATCATTTGGCAAATGTAGGTACTACAACGATGTTTTTTTATCTGCATTGCAAGAACTGGAAAATTTTAATCGCTTTGTTTTCATATTTTAAAATGCTTCTTAGTATTAACCAGTAGAAAACAACAAAAACTAACCTAAATAATAATAAATTTAGTGCTTAATTTAGTGCAAAAACAAAACGCAAGGGTTGTGTCTGCACGTGGCGAAAGTGATTTGTTTTGACTGGTTCTAAAACAAGAGTGGGAGTTACATTGCGCAGACGCATAATTTATATCTAGACTCTTGAATAATAATCTAGACTCTTAAATAATAATCTAGACTAGTTAATCTAGACAAGACCGCATTGAGCTTTTTTAATCAAGACTTAGACTTACGCAACTCTTGTCTTGAAATTTAAACAAAAATTTGCATCGTTTTTCGAATACTTCGCACACTCGTTAAATATCTAGGAATATAAGGAATCCGAATAACAATAATAACAGATTTCTGGTAATATATTATAAACACTGTTGTTACGAACACGTTATGAATTAGAATAAAGTAAGCAGAAACATAAGTTGCAGATGCTGAAGTCAGTTGAACTTGTTGATGAGTATTGTCAGTGGTAAATCTTTTGATTGGCTGCCTGAAATCACGCGTACCTACCTACTTTTTCAACGAAATAATTTGTTACACATTGACAAAATAATCTGTATAACCTTTGAAATTAATAAAATGCTTACAAAATTGCATATTACCTTTACAAAACTTTCGGTAAAATATTTTTCTTTGATAAAATAATTACAAACCTTGGTTTTCTACAAAAAAATTATGTTAAAATTTTACAAAATAAACTACAAACAAATCCTAGTTTGTAGGGTTAAAAATATAAAAATAATATGCTCCTAACAACATCCAAACTATTATCTAATGCATTTTTAGTACAATGAGCCTTAATCCACCAATATGTCACTTGAAATACATCATTGGGGTGTTGTTATAATAGCGGCGGGCTAAACACCTGCAGTGGACGTGTGCATATGGTCCCAAGTTTGATTTAAATTGAGGACACCCACAGGGTCTGGTAAGGGAGCTACTTTGAACATATTGTCGAGTATACTATCTGGAACAATGCTCTGCTTAGTAGTAACATGCGTATGGAGAAAATAAGCACTTAAATTGTGTATCGGTCGTGATTATCGAGATATCGGGACAGTGTTAATGAAAAAGGAAAACAAAGGGTTTAAAAGGATACCAATAATACTACTCAAATAAATATAAGTCTAGAATTTAGTAATATGGGTTATTTTCAAATTTCTTGTACATTTGGAACTTTACTAAGCGAAATCAATTGGTTTAAGTGTTTTAGCAACTATATAATGATCTTAGAGAACATATTCCAAATATTACAGAAAAAGCCCATTTGTGGTAATATTTAAAAATACAAGTGGTTAAAATAACCCCTAAAGTTTGTCCCTTAATTGTGGTCCCCTAGGTCACGTCTCCTGGGTCAAAGCTTTTATAAATGACCTTTTGAATTGAGCGCACATTGTGTTTATCTGGGCTACGGCAACGTTACAAATTTACGGATTTGGTTGGAATGGAAAAACATACTAAACTATAGTTATAAATGTAATTATAATGTAATTGTGGTTATGTTTAAATTATTGTAGGTTACATTGAACGGTTGTCAAGTTGAATTGTCAAAATTCGTAGTTAAAAATGAAATTCATTTGGCTTTGGTGGTGCGTAGGTAAGTAAAATCATATAAAAAAGTAGTTAAATATAGGTGACTACGGCCCAGGAGAGACAGAGAAAGCCTAGCGGATAATAATCTTCGCTTTGAAAAGAAATTAAAATTGTATATATATTATGTACACACGTGAATGTTGTCCAATCATTGGACACCAATGGTGGCTATGCTCCGTAATTTACTGTCAGTACTGTCGGTACTGAAAACGCATTCCGAAATCTACTTTCAGTTACTGAGCTCAGTGGTAAATACTAACCTTTTATAAATGTACGGCAGATTAATTTTACTGAAACAACTGGGGACAGAGAGGTGCTGTGGCTCCAGTAAAACACATAACCAAACTTTTAAACAAAAAATAGCTGTCAAATAAAGTGAAGGATATAAATTATATTATATAATGGTATAATGGTATTTGGTGAATACCTATAGGACTAATTATTTCAATATTTATTGATAAAATATTACTTGAAAGTACAAGCAGCAGTGACGAAGGCAGGTCGGCGGGGAGTACGCATACGAAGACCCAGAATATGAAACTACCTACTATAGGACTACCTATAGGTAGTGCCTAGAAAATGTTATATATTTGTATTCAGCGGACGAATTTAAGAGTAATTTTTGGTATTTGGCTTATTGTTGTGGTGTCAGTGAAATTTTATATTTCCTATTCCTATATACATTTTTCGACGCGGACGACGATAACATTAAATTTTCCATATTTTTCTGCCATAAACCAAACATTATATTTCTTATAACTGTTATATTTATTATTTATTTATGTTCTCTGCTGTGCCGAAAGTAGAGTTTGTCAATTGTCAATAGTAAATCACAAATCATATATACTGACGCACAGTGAAATTGGAACGCGCCTCAGTAGCAGCAGAAAGTGACAATGGTTACGCAAGGTTATAACCTTGCGTAACCATTGTCACTTTCTGCTGCTACTGAGGCGCGTTCCAATTTCACTGTGCGTCAGTACTGAATAAATTACGGAACGGTCCTTTTCCGCTACTGACAGTAAAATTACTGACAGTAATGGCAGTAAATTACGGAACACAGCCGGTGAATGGGTATTTTGTTAAAGCCACTGGACGTTTATACTTGTAGTGGCTTAATAATAAATATAATGTATGTATACATTATATACAATATATTGTCCAGGACTAATAATATTTGATCAGTAACTTGTAAATTGAAGAAAAAAAAGTTTCGTGATTATTGCTTATCTTTTTCAAACCAAATGGATGCTATTTTCAAAGACAGGAAACTACTAGATACAAAAAGGTTGAACCTAACAGCAAATAATTTTTATTTTTTGTTTTTTTATTTTGTATTTTTTTAAATTTCAAACATTTTTGATCTGCTTAGCACACATTATGATTTAATATTTGAAAAACCAAAAAGTTACTTTTTTACTCCAAAAATGTTGATAAGGCTTCATCGAAATAAAGTTTTGCCCTTAAAAGTTCTTTTACTTTAGAATCCAATATTATTTTTGGCATAGTTATCTTTTTATATCGATATTATATAATAATTAACAGGTAAATTATCAATAATAAATATTACTGCCAATTTGACAGTGTCAGAGTATTTAATAATTAAGGTCTTCAGCAGAAGTAACATTTTTTAAATACCAAAAATACCAGTCCAAATAAAAAAAATTAACTGTATATGGAATATTTCAGCCAAGTTTTATGACATTTAAAACGTAATATGGTTGTGTTCCGTAATTTACTGTCAGTATTTCTTATAACTGTTATATTTATTTTTTATTTATGTTCTCTGCTGTGCCGAAAGTAAAGTTTGTCAATTGTCAGTAAATCACAAATCATAACCTTGTGTAACCATTGTCACTTTCTGCTGCTACTGAGGCGCGTTCCAATTTTACTACTGCGTCAGTACTGAATAAATTACGGAAAGGTCTTTTTTCGCTACTGAGTAAAATTACTGATAGTAATGGTAGTAAATTACGGAACCTAACCTATGTAATTTACCATTCTATTCTATATATATTCTCTATAGTAGTGTGTATGCCCTTTCAGGTTT